GGCTGAAATTGTAAACAACTGGGTAATTTACATAATAATATCTGTACATATCTTTGAAGAATAATTTTCCTTTCTCTTAATGTATTCAGTTTTTTTTATTCTTCCAAGTTTCCTTTTCATTTTAGAGTTTTTGGATTTAATTAAAGATTTCTGTTATTCTAAAAATACTAAATGCATTTAGAATGTATAGAGAAAGCTGCTAATTTTATAGTAATAGGAACATTCAGAAGAAATATGAAATATATATGATAAGGTCTGGTTACAGAGCTGGTGTGGCAGAATTTTTTAATTTATTCACACATCGAGCAACAAAATCTAGAAATGTCAAAACTTTTAGAATTTAGAACAGGCATTGGAAGCAAAATTTACAAAGGCACCAAGCAGCACAATTTAATGTGTATGATGCATTAAGACATATTAGATGAATTATTTAAAATGTCAGTTTTTAATTTCTTTATTAATAAAAAAATTTATTTTCTATAACGCCTGTCCATATGATAAGATTAGAAGCATTTTTGATATTTTATGCTTGTGTCTAGTGAAAAATAAAGAAAATAAAGGGAAGATAAAAATGTTAAGAAAAAGATTCTAGTATCAGAAGTAAAACATTCAACTATTATGTTTTTATTGCTCTTCCAGATGTTCTCCAAAAAGTAAGAAATTATGTATTAATACCATGGAGACATTTTTCATTTTGCCACATTTTTCTGGAATCTTCAAGGTCTATAAATCTTGCCTTCAAATCTTTCTAAACTTTCCAAGCTGCAATGTCTAAAATCCTAAAGAAAAATTACCCCTGCCAATTCAGTAACAGCAAAAAGCCGGAAATATTTTCAAAAAAAAATTTGGTACAACTCTGATATATGCCATAATTTCACCAAATGTGGCGATATGTGTTCTGCACTGGTTTTTGGCGTGATTGCGTGTTGTATGGCAACCCTGTTGACGTTGAAAAATCTTTCGTTGGAGTTCGTTGGTTTGCGTCATGCTTTGTGTCTGAGAAGCTAGAAGGGGAAAGAAAAAATGGTGGAAGTTGTTGAATTGAAGTTCGGCGAAAGGAAATATCGTTGTGACCATCCTGTTGAGGGGCAGTGGGTATTTGGAGATGTGGAAAGAACGTCTGGGAGATTATTTTTAGTGGCTGTGCATGATAGAAGTAGGGATTTGTGATTATTTGTTATTTTATTTATTTGTGAACTATAGTATGAATTTTCTGGATAGTGCGTCTGGCTGTCATATAAATACAATAGTGATTACGTGGCGGCATGTTAAAGGCGGTATGAAGTTGATATTTCTGCTGTTCGAAAAAGTATTAATTCATGGTAAGTGCATTTTCTTTTATTCTTGTTATTTTGGAGAATGTTATGTTCATTGTTTTTTAGTATGAATTTCTGTTGTTATTGTTTTTTTAATTGTTTAAAATTTGAGTTATTTTGTTGATTAGTGCGTACCATCTAAATTGTGCAATTCGTAGATGTTTCTTAAAGTTGAAACAGAACGCTGTATACATGGTATTCTTCGAAATTTACTGTTACGTTAATTTATTAAATTGAGGTGTGCATAGTTCGTAGATTCGTTTGTTGCCTAAATTGTGCAATTCATAGATGTTTTTTTAGGTTTAAACAGGATGCTGTGTACATGGTATTCTTTGAAATTTATTGTTATGTTAATTTATTAAAGCGAGGTGTGCGTAGTTCATAGATTTGTTTGTTGCCTAGATTGTGCCATTCGTAGATTTTTTTTAAGTTAAAACATATTGCTGTGTACATGGACTCTTGTCAAATAATTTTGGTTAGAAACTTTACGGTTTTGCTATCTAAATATTTTGTTTTGGATTTTTAACTTAAATTGTTGTGTTCAAAACGTGGTTTTTGCGTTCGCAAAAATCGTGTTTTTGGAGACATTTTAGGTTTAAAGTTCGAAATGTAGACAAAAAATTTAGATAGCAATAGGCAGCATGGAGTTTCTCGCCAAATTTAGCGACTTGAGGGCGCATATCAGAGTAGTTCCTTTTTTTTTTTTTTTTTTTTTTTAAATCGTATAAAAAATATGTAAAATTAATTTTATAGAGAAAACTGACACATATTCTGAGACAATAACATGAGGAAACTCTTACCAGGAAAAAATTAAAACAAAAATTTTAATTAATTAAATAGCTATTTTGCTTTTGCTAAGAACCGTTTCGCAAATTGTGCTTTATAGCATTATACCTTGCTTATTTTTCAGATTCAAAATATTGTATAAAAAGTGGCTAAAATGGAACTTTATAATACGACAACAAAAAATAAAAATGCTTTATTTTAATGTTATTCCTTAAATGTCATTATTATGTATTATCATTATTTTAATGAAACTTATCAATGTTACAATGTTTTAAAAAAATCGTCGAAAAATTCGCAGATCTCGGAATTAAAAATTTTCTATAGAAACTGATCTTAAAATCGCCAATGTTGATATGTCACTAAATTTAGAGCAATTTAATAAAAGAATTCACATTCCCAAAAGCGAAAAGTTCTTTAAGAGCTCTTCACTACAAAAAATGAAATAATTTTGAATGCTTTAATGTTTCACACTTGCTCAGAAACTCTATCCATCCTTTATATTAGAAATAGGAACAAATTAGTATAACCCATGAACGCATTCACCCATTCAAAAGATAATGATATTTGTAAGAGAATTACCAAAAATATTCCTCCAAAATGCTAATTCACACTCAAAATGGCAGTCGTAAAAACAGTCAGAAATCTCAGATGATTAAAAATTAAGGACCTTCTGACGATTTTGGACGAAATTAAGGACTTTCTGACTAAAAATCAAAAGGACCAAAAATCGATTCTAAAAAACTTAAGAACTTTTAAGGACCGTATGAACCCTGATTTTGCTGTAGTGGTTTTATTTCGTGGTTGGTTGGTTTGATGGGCATTTTGAAATGGCTTATGTTCAATGAAAGATGTAGCGGCAAAATTTCAGTCGCATATTTCGGATTCACACTCAAAATGGCAGTCGTAAAAACAGTCAGAAATCTCAGATGATTAAAAATTAAGGACCTTCTGACGATTTTGGACGAAATTAAGGACTTTCTGACTAAAAATCAAAAGGACCAAAAATCGATTCTAAAAAACTTAAGAACTTTTAAGGACCGTATGAACCCTGATTTTGCTGTAGTGGTTTTATTTCGTGGTTGGTTGGTTTGATGGGCATTTTGAAATGGCTTATGTTCAATGAAAGATGTAGCGGCAAAATTTCAGTCGCATATTTCGGATTGTGTGCAAGTTAAATTTAGTATTGAAAGGTACAATGTTGGAGTTGTTAATCAGTCTTTTGTTCACAGTGTGTTTATGCAGTTCGAAGCGTATTTTTGGAATTTCTGTGGGAGTCAGGACTTCTGAAGTGGTTTGGCATGTTCGAAATGTGGAGCTGATATGAAAACTCGTACGAAGAATGGCGTTTCTGATGGACTTGTGTGGGTTTGCAGGCAAATGGTTGCAGGTTGGTTGTTGTTTTGCTGATGTTTGAAATTAATATTTTTGCTGTTTGAAGAAGCATTCACAATGGTAAGTGCATTTTATTTTATTGTTCTTATTTTGTAAAATGTTATCCCCCCCTATGAATTTCCGTCATTATTGTTTTTTGAATTGTTTGTAATTTATTTTAGTTTATTTTGTTGATTTGTGCACAATGCACAGGCTGTGCAATTCACTGATGTTTTTTAAAGTTAAAACAGAACATTGTGTACATGGTGCTGTCTGAAATTTGTTGTTATGCTAGTTCATTTTAGCGATGTGTGCATAATTCCTAGATTCTTTCGCTGCATAGATTGTAAAATTCTCCGATGTTTTTTAAAGTTAAAACACTGTGTACAGGGATTCTTGTCAAATACTTTTGGTTAGAAACTTCACGTTTTTGCTATCTATTTTTTTTTTATTTTTTTTTATTTTGGATTTTTGGCGTAAACTATGTGTTAAAAACATGGAATTTGCAGACATTTCAGGCTTAAAGCGAAATGTAGACAAAAAATTTAGATAGTAATATGGCGGTGTGGAGTTTCTCATAAAAAAATGTTTGGCGAGAAATTTATCGCCAACCAAGGACGCATACAAGAGTAGTTTTGGTTTTTTAATATAAATTTTAAATCGAGTGTTACAATGATCCCTAATATTAATAAACATATATAATTTAAAATATATTATAAAATCAGATTACTATCTTGCAGTATGAATGTTCCAAAGGTTAAAAGAAACCCCATGTGTGGACTTCACAAAGTGTGGACCTTCTAAGATTTCCTTTTCCCTTACAGCTTTTCATAGCAAGTGGGATGTTTAATTCCTTGTCTGGTAAACACAATTACTGAATCGATATTTTCAAGAATTTTCACCTTAACTATTACCCAGTTGTTTAATTTTGAAATCATCATGAAATTGCAGGAAATTATTCTGATCAAGACAGTTTAGTTTTACAACACACAGAGCATCTTCTCATAAATTCTTTTTCTATGATAATTTCAACTACTAAATACATTAGTTATAAAATGCTATCTCGGTGAAAAAAAGGAGGGACACAGTCTTTCAAACACCTTGTGTTGCTCTAACCTTAACTTCATTTTGTGAATCCCCCAACAATTATAAATCTATGCAAGGTACTGAAATCTTATTAAAAACATTCTTTGCTTCCAATTTATTATGCATTTCCTTTCATAGCTGCACTTAAAACTGATGAAAGAAGGTCAATTATAATATGCTTTCACTGCCTAAATCATTCCTTGAAGCTGGAAAGTTATGTTCAAAGGTAAAAAATAACTTTTGCTCTTTGGTTCAAATCCATAATTTCAGAAGCATTATCAATAATTTACTTCATCTTTAATAGTGAACTGCAAAACTGGATATAATGTTCAGTTTGGAGAAAGTAAATATCAAAAGCAGGCAAAGCATCTGCCCAGAAGCACTTAAAACTACAACTATTTTTTAAAGCCAGTATAATATATATTTCTGATGAATACTTACCGATTGGTCTGCTATTCTTCGACCATATATAAGATATTCCATTTTATCATCTTCGCCGGTAACAGATCCTTTGCAGACAGAAACAAGACTCAACCCACCAGCTCCCATAGGTACCCAGCCACCAGTTGAGTCATCCCTGGTCATGACCTGGGCACGCACACGGACCAGGTAGTTTCCACTGCCAGAATAAATAACATCAAGAATGAATTAATATTGAAAAAAGATTAATATAAATATTACCTAATTTACAACCATGCCAAATAGAAATTATATAATGTGACTTAATCTAATCTTGAAAAGCATTGACATACATCACTATATGATATTTAAAATCCATACTTCCATATTATAGCAGCCTCCAAGATTAAACCGATAATCATCAGATATCTCACCACATGTCCTTTTACCTCATTACACATTCCATCTTGACTGATTAGCAATTAAAGTTGGAAGCTGCTATAATAAAGTACCTTAAAATCTTTCAAGCATGAAATATCTTTAACCATATATAGTAATATCCCAGCTGGACAAAATTATAGTTATTACAACAAAACCTCACAGTATATACTTGAGAAAGAACACAAAATTTGACTACCATGTGACTGCAAAAACAGTTGTTTTAAATGATTGAAAATTAGTCACCTAAAAAATTCTAACATAATAAAACATGAAAATTTTACTAAATATAGGCTAATGACTAAAATACCAATAGGCATGTGTTGAGACTGCCTTATTCTGATAAAGTACATTTTAAGATACAAAAAATTCATGCAGATACTGAATACAAACACATTTATATAACATACAGTAAATGTTTTTTAAGAACTCTGAATTTCAAAGACCACCTATGCTGAAACATTTTTCAAAATCAGCATCCTCTACATTCTTGCAACTGAAAGGGTTAAACAGCTCTGAAAATAATACTATAAAAAAACAGGGAAAATAAGATCATTCAGAGCATATCCCGGATAACTTTAGTTAGCTTCATTTAGCACTACTAAGCCATGCATATTGCACAAAATTTTCATAACCAAATACTTTAGATGATTTATTTACTTCCCCCATCTATAAATCAAAGATACATTAATACCCTTTTCTGAAAATCCCTCCCTCTAAAAATATAACAGCAGACTAATCATGACATTACTGGAATGAAATAGCTACAATGAAAGAATGACCCATTGACATTATTACACATTCTTCCAATTCATTTCCAGTTCAATTCCAATTTCCAATTCATTCCAGTTCAGAAGTTGCATATATAAATTCATTCTCACTTTTAATTTCACAAGACAAAATGATTAGGACAGATTTCAATGCACATGTCTTGTTCATAAAATACTTTTTTAGCAATTTTATTATAGCACTGATTTTGGCATTCAAAGGTTCCAGGTGAACAGAATGACTGTTATGATCAAAAAAGCACTTCTTACCATGATCTTTATCACCTATCACCAATTAAATACAACGTCCACACTGTTCCTCTCTCACACAGTAATAAAAACATACCGGCATATTCAAATGTAGATGATTCCAGGAGATAACAAATATACTAATATTGAGCAACTAATACAAGTACAAAACATATGAGAGTTGACAAAGTAAGGAAAACTTTAAGACAGATATTTCCATAAAGAGAATTTTTAAATACATGTATAATAAAAGTATAAAAACTCCAATGCAACATATCTATATGACCACATTATTATGATCTTCATCATCCATTACCAATCAAATGCAGTCTTCTCATTATAATAGAAAATATATTAATATATTCAAATGTAGATGCTTTCAGGAGAGAACAAATACACTAATATTGTGTAACTAGTATAATGACGAAGTGTCTGAGAGTTGACTGAGTGAGGAGAGCTTTCTTCTTTATGAGAGATATTTCCATAATGAGCATTTTTAATTATATGCATGATAGAACTAAGAAACTTGCAGTGCAACCTATTTATATGACCTCAGAGTAGAATACGATAAAAAGTGTAAGATATGTTGCATAGTAACATTGTGTTGAAACTTCCTTTGGTTATTCTCCTTAGTTGTTCAAGCTAACTCATTACGGAATTTATCCCAGATTAATACAATTCTTCGAGTGTGCTAACTATATCTGCATTTCTAAATATAAGAATTTTCTTATATAGAATATTTATGCAATTTATGATTTCTTGCAAAGCTTTTTGAAATGCTGAAGATTTATAGATAAAAGATAGATTTATAAAGAACAAAATAAAACATTCTGTAAAGGGGTTATATAATACTGCTCTTTTAGCAACATTATCTTAAAAATGCACTGTCAAATATCTGTCCAATAAATTTTTTTGCTACATTTTGATTGACAAGGCACAAGTCTTATTGTGCACCAGATATGGTAAACTGCTTATTTTATATCGTACATGTAATGAAATCACTGAGATTAAGTGAAAATAACAAAGATAATTTGGTAATTTTTCTTGCATAATTTTCAGATGCTTTTTGTTGACAGATATTTTTTAAAGAAAGAATTGAACAGGAATTACACAATTTGACAACTGCTTATTGAACAGCTGCAATTTAATTCTTCCAGGACAAAGGAATCAACCATATTGAAACACTCTGAAAAATGACAAAATGAAATTGTGGTGCGTTACAACCAAAGGACCAAAATGCAACTGTAGGGAAAAGATTAAAAAAAGGAAGAAGAAAAGCATAAAGCGCAGATCCAGGTTCGAAAGTGCAAACCTATTTAAAAACTTGAAATTTTAAAACATTCAAGCATAAAGAATGGTATCAGAAGCAATAACTTCTTTGAAATACTGAATCTAGTAATAGTTACCACATATATTTACTCACAAACACTTTTTAGCCTGATATTTCTTTCAAATTGCCCTTCAGTAATGACACATAAAAATTTTCCCCTCTCAATTATCAAAAAGTAAAATCAGTAAAAACCTGGTGGAAAATGAACAAGTAAATAATTTTCATTTTAACCACATTCTGTTTTAAAAGCTTCAGAACATAATGTGTTACATATATTAAATTTAATAATATTCATTCTATATTTAAGTATATATAATGCTGCTGCATATATTCAAGTATTCCAAATTTTTGTATTTCATCATTCAAAGTATATTAATTAAATTGTGATAATACTTGAGATATTTTAAGCTGTTAATACAGATATTCAAATGTTTAACTATCCGAATAGCCTGAAATCATATATACTAAAAAATATGGGAAAACTGCTGTCTGATAATGAAGTTTTTCTGTGTTTTTATGCTAATTAGAGAGTGCTAATGAGAAATGTCTATTGTTATAGAAACTGAAACTTATCCTTTGTTTTTACACATTTTGTAAAGATCCTTGCCGTTTATAATTTTAACTTCCTCTTTTATTTTTATTTTAACTAAGTACTACTGCACTTATTAAAAGTAAGTACTACAATAAAAGTTTATGAAATATCTTGCTAGTAAGTTTTGCATGTGACACATCACAGCAATTTGTTATAGGGAAAACATCCTCTGCTTAACAGAATGTCAAGCATTAGCCGCCCAAAAAAGTTAAATATTTTTTTACAGTAAATTTAACCAGAGACTGGAAGTAAACTTATGCAGAGAGCCCTTTCATCTGTTGAATTTCTAGGAACAAGAAATGATCCAAAACGTTATATGTTATTTTTATCAGTCTTTAGAAGTTAGAATTTCCAGATACGGTAAACTAATCTTGTAATTTTAAAATTATTTATACCTACTACATCTGATTTAGCATCGAAATGAATGATGAAGGAAGATTTTCCTAAATTTTTAATTTTAATATGAATAAAAAAAAATCACTGACCCCTTACATACAGGATAAAAAGCACAAAAAGGAAGATTTTGAATTCCCCGAAAACAGAATTCACTGCACAGGACAACTCTTTTCAAAATGTAAAAACTATTTTCAAAAAGTCAGCCTAATTCAGAGTACGCACTATTTTAATAAATCAGGAAATTGTATAATAAATTTATTAATGATTTATAGAGAAAACAAAAATCATACACACATACAAAATTAACAGAATAAGTAATTTCATATTAAGTGAAAGTTTAGAATAATTATATTAGTAAAATCATAATGAGAATAACAACAATTCTTTAATTATAAACAGTAGTTACTTAAAATAAGTTAAAAAAATACAAATATAGTTAGAATTCATATGTTTTAAATTATTTAAAATGACTATTTATAATTAAATTTTATTATATTTGTTGTGTAATTAAGATGAAATGCGGGCTACAGAAGATTGCACTCGAAAGAAAAACGTTGAGTATCAAAGTGCTTATTTAGGAATTATTATTGCAAAACAATTATAAACTGGGTTTGATTACGGTTGACTTTCTTCTACAATCATGAACAATTATATAAGAACACACTATAACCTGCACAATATGATAATTACTGGTTCTTCTACTATCATAAAATAATTATAACACACACATTATAACTGCACAATATGATAATTACTGGTTACTTAAAATTATAATTATTAAAATTACATTAAATTATGAACATCAAAAGGTGCTTAAAAGATTTCTATGCCCTAATTAGAAATATTATCCTCGAGAGTTATTGTAATAATTGAATTTTGCAGATTTGGGACGAGAACTATATATTTGACTCTTTAAACACAATTTATACTGTAAAAAACTAGTACCATCTTAAATCATAAACATAAAATTTAAGATATGGAAGAGTTTATATTACATAACTGTTTAAATATGACCAACACTAATGAACATGCAAAAATGTTTGCATCTCACCTTGTTTTCTTATATTGGAATATCAAATTTTAAATAAGGTACAATTATAAAAAGCTATTATTAATGCTATAAAAATTCATATTTTATTTATTTAGTTTTAAGAGTTGTATATTGCTTCATATTTTTCAAAGCTCGGAATTCTGAATAAAAATGTTTTCAACTATATCTGGCAGCTCTAGAAAATTTAACTATTACCTAATTCAAATATATAAACCAGAAACCAGAAATTAGCTGATTTATCTTTTTGTTCTCTTCTGGATATTAAAATTTTGTTAAATATGTGTTACACAACAAATAAAATATCAGAATATGCAATGTATGTTCAAACATTTAAATGCTTATTGGCTGATTTAAATATAATTTGAAAACAGTTTATTAACCTATTCACGATAATTTAAAAGATTAACTCATGAACTTCCACGCCAAAGAATATGCAATTTTCCAAGGAGGTATTCAGAAAAACAATAGACACATTAGAAAATTTATACGTAATGCCTATTTGAACAATGAACATTAATAAATAACAAATTGTTTAAATAATTATACATCACAAATTAGGTTCGAACAGAACGTATATTAATAAGCCGAAAAGACGCTACCAAGCATGTCCCGTATGGGGGGGGGATGGCAAGTAAAACGTTTTCTTGAGTTACATTTATTTACAATGATTATAAAAATAGTTAATAATTTCGGGAATTTTACTTCAAAACAGAATATAATGCATAAATACTATTATAATATATTAAGTCTGGATACAATCTGAGACGAGATGTTAGTCCGCGCGTTCGCATGCATTTACCAACTTCACCAATATCGTAAAGTCACTCGTTCATTCACAAAGTTCCATCCATTGACAAAAATCAATTTGACCTCAATAACATCGCGACCTTCGTAAAAGGCCAAATATAATTTTTATTTCAAACCCTAAAAAGTTTCATATCGATAATAAAATTTTCATTCATTGTATAATCAAAAACAGACACATAATTAAATATATTTCAGGTGAAGTCAAAACGGCCACAGGGCATAAGTTTAACGCTTTCAGCGTCACTACTAAGCCTATCTGGAAAAGATATTTAATAATGTTTCTAAGGAAAAATATAATTTGTACTTACTCTTCGTGGCTACCTTCCATTATTTTTTATCTGATTATCACCCATTTTATGTTGATTTCATGCAAATCGTGCCCACGAATCACAAACCCCTCTTAAAACACCTCATAAGCCTAACAATCCAAAACTGTACGAACGTACCACAAAACTTCAACAACACAGGAAACGGACCGCAGTGCAGTCTGTCTCCTTCCGCGATAGGAAAAAGAGTTTACCGAAGAAAACATTCGCAATAGGTTTCTGCTGGAAATATATTTTAATTAATGCAGCATATTGCCAAAACTATTCATTTCCCACTAATCTAGAAAGAAATAAAAACAATTTTTAAACGTTTTTGTTTCACGTAAATCATTGTTTTGATTGTAAGTGCGCGCTCAGTTCAGTTTTACAGCTAGTAACCAGTATCAGTAATAGGGTTAACACCATTTGACAGAGAGATTCGAGGGTCAATATTCCTAAACAGTGTTTTAAACGACCTTGCAGTTTATTCCAGTAACGTGTTGTAGAAAATTATGAGTTAAATTTAAAATAAAATAAAATGAGGCGAAACTTAAAGAATCGATATTTCTTAAACATTTAACCCAGGCGACTGAAGACCATTCCATTCAACTTATCCGGGTGGGCACTGAAACGGAGAGCAGACGCTCATTTCTTCGTTCTAGGGGCGATAGGATTGTTAATTTAAAAATTCAAAAAAAAGAAAAAAAAAAAAAAAAATCATTTTCTTATTCTAACTGCTGAAAATATAAATGGATCATACTTCTCAATGATAATGTTATATATAATAGATATAGATATTAATGAAATTTTAATTACTGTCAGGAAAAAGGGGGGCTTACGTATTTTGTACTTAAAGCTCTTTTTTTTAACTCAAAATTATCTTTGCCTATGCACAGTTATGATTTATGTTTATATAAAATACAAGTAAGTTTAACATACACTACACAACTATAATGGTTGATATTAATAATAAAAATTTCAAAAACATGATGAAGTTCCATAGTACATTTTATAGATAAATTACAGTATGCATCGTGAAATAATTATAGCACTGTACTTATATTAAATCAGAATAATAGTAAAATAAATTTTGAGAATTCGCATAGAATCATGGTCGAATTAATTCATACTACTATGATGACTTAATTCGAACATGATTGCAAGCCATTGGGTTTACACAAAGCACACAAGAATTATCTGCTAAAAAAAAGATTTTCACAAATGAGTCTGGCCCGTTTTCACGTAGCGCACGGGGTGCACTGCCGGATTTACGTACAAGTTACACAAACTACAGCTTAGAGCCAATGGTTGAAATTTACGGTGCTCCAAAAAATATGAATGGTTTTAGATTTTACGGCCACCCAAAAGATTTGTTAAGGTTTTTTATGGTCTCGCTGAGTACGGAGTCTAGCAATCTGTTGCCGCACTTACCACACAAAGTTTTTTTCGGGGGAGGGGGGAGCATCGTTTTTTTTTTGCACTTACGCTACGCACCACAAAACCACAATTTTTTTTTAACTGAATAGCAGTATATGTTTCCGATACAACATTAAGTGTTGGCATACGTTTTTATATTTGTTTCTGTTTTTTCCCTCAGTTCATCATATTAATATTCCGTTGAATAGCCGAAGAAAATTTCAATTTTTGTCTTTTCATTATTAACTTTTTATGTCTTAAGTTTATCACTTACGCCACATGAAATTCAGTTGAAGAGCGAAACCACATTACATTTAAAAGCAACATATCTTTAGAATTTCTCTATAGAGTGCTAGAGTTAACCATACATATTTTTATATTCGCTATATCTATTTCTTTAAAAACCTGCCACTCCGTAAGCCCAGCCGACTAGTACACTTATCATTAAAAAAAAAAAGTATGTATTATCGTAAAAAGAATATTGTCAGTAAGTATCATAAAAAAGTAAAAAGTATAATGACTTTAATGAGTCTAGCTAATGTAATTTCATTAAAATGTTGAATATTTCTAAATTAAACATCACATTTTACGTGAGATATTTCATCCAAAATATTAAATATTTCTAATTAAACATCACATTTTACATGAGAGACATATTTATTTAAATCCACATAAAACGTGTTACTTTAAATCAATTATATTAAAAAATAGAAGAAAAAAAAAGTAATGTTACGAATTTTCTACATATGTGGATAAGTTTAGTGAAATTATATGTGAAATTGTTGTATTTTTCTGTATAATGTAACATGAGAATCTAGAGGGAGAATGCTCTGCCGGAAAAATAAGAAAATTTGGGCAAGTCTATTTAACATCGAGTAAATGGCTATCTCGCTAAATTAACGAGATATCGCCAAGCTGGCAGTGGTTTTGAAGACTAATTTTTGTCGCCAGATTTCGTGAGAAATCGCTAAAATTTGCCACACTTGGCAACCTTTTGGCAGCATTTTGGTGCGGTCCCTGTATCTCCGTAATTGGTATTCTAAATGAATAAATTTAATTGGGCATCATATTAGTTGTAGCCGTCTTTGGCCCTCATATGCCTTCCAGCAATTTTGAGAAGCAAAAAGTATTAGAAATATCTCAGCGGCCGTGTTGAAAAATATAAGGCCGGAAAGAGCATCTGGCCTCTTTTGTTGTCGTTGCGAGTATTGTTATGTAGAGAAATTATCTGATAGCGTTATAAAAAAAAATTAAATGAATGATTTTATGATTTATGGAAATTTAAATTTTATTTTGATTCTGAATTATTTAATTTAAGGCTTTAATTTTGGGGAGAAACAGATGCTTCTGGAAATATTATTTAGTTTAAATGAATATTATTTATTTTCTTTTATTTGTAAATCTTGTACAAACTTTTATTCATTGTGAAAGAAGCAGGGAAAGGGAGGCAATTTTCGCCAAGTCATGATTTCGCGCGCTTTAGAATGTTCGAGAAAGAATTTTCATTGTTAGTTGACCTTAAGAGAGGAAAGTACGTGACGGAAAGGTCAAAGGTTGCTACTTGTCTTTCAATGTAAGTCATTCAGGTTTTTGGCGATTGAGGGTCCGGTTGTTGGCTAAGTGAAGAAGGGCGCGCATGCGCGATCACCCTTATTTTTTCCGCATTCTGGAGTTGAAAACGAAGATTTTGCCATAATTAAGGGGGCGATAAGTGAAGCCATAGTGGGAGCCCGTTTTTGTGAAGGAGAAGAAGGAAATTTGAGTTGGATACACACTTACTTTTTGGCTGACTCTCGGACTGACTCGCTGATTTTTTTGGGCTTGCTGGAAAATGTAAGTGACTCCGAGAGGTGTTTTCCGGCGGGGAGCGGCAAATATGCTCCCCGGCCGCGTTTTGGTTAAGAGGCGAGACTCTGGACACTCTTACTTGGACTCGCGCACTTACTGGGTTGGCTTGACTTGTGGATGTTACTCTGGAACTTACTTGGGACGTTACCCGTGAAGACTTTACCCATCCCAAGAGCGTGCTCTTGGGATGAGTAAGAACAGGCGAGCCGTAATTTCCCTAGCAACAACGTTTCTGACCGGCGAAATTTTGAACGAGTTACCTGCGTGTTGACATAGGACGACTTTCAGGACCAAGCGGATTAGCCGTCCTGGGCAGCAGTGCTCCTTTTTCTGTTCTACAGTATTGAAGTGGGTCTACATTTTTAGGAACCAGTGTCAAGATGAGCCCGGCCGACATCAACGCGGGATAAGATAAGTCCTCCGCTTCAAGATTTGTCCCTTTCAAGATAAGTTTATTTTATTTTTGTTTTTTTTTGAATTTAAATCCTCTCACTCAAAGATTTAACATTGGTGCCAATGTCTTAACAGATAAGTTTGTATAATATATTTTTTTTTTTTGTGTTTATTCGATCCTCTCACGAAACTTCTTTTACAACATTGGTGCCGTGACCTCTGCTTAGTGAAGGATCGAATCGAGTAACTGAATTTGGATTTGAATTTACCTATTTTTGTAATTTACTGTTTTAAGGAAGGAGTTAAATTTTATGTGCTAGGATTAATTAGAGTTTTTGATTTGTGTTTGCTTATTTGTTAATACGAGAGTGATAAAGTTTGAAAATGTGTGTGAATTTCAGGAATTTTGGACTTTAACGTTAGGCAATCAGAATTGAACTTTAAAATTAGGAAAAATATATATATAGAATGTAGCAGAATAGGTACTGTACATTTTTACTGTTGAAAATCCTTGAGTGTTTTCTGGATGTATATTTTTGATTTTCGACGTACTGATTTATGATACAAGATGGAAAATGAATTATTTCACGATAATCCTATGCTATTTGTGTATCCTTGTATACAAGTTTCGAGTGCTTGTCGGTAAAAACTGGACTCATTTTTGAGCACTTCTAAGAGAAAGAGATTAAAGACTCTAATTATTTTACTGAATGAGACAAGCCATAGCTATGCGTAGCTAGAAATTTTTTTTTTTTGTGTGTGTTTTTGCTACTTATTTAACCTAGAATCTTGTGAAATGTGTAATTGTGAGGGGTAACGTTAGAGAAATTTTGATTTTTTTGAACTTGATTGAATAATATTTTGTGAAATGTATGTAATGTTTTCATGATTCTCTAGCGTAGTATATTATTGCTTTTTGATTTACAATGTTTTGATATGATTCCAGTATATTGTGTAATGTGTTAGAAAATTTAATTTAGTATTGAGCAATGAATTTTATAAGTTCTTAAGGCATAATGATACAAATGAATGAGTTAAAAATTGAAGATTGTTTTTCAATTGCAAAATTCTGTTTTAAAATTAACATGGGTTAGATTTGAATTTTTGCCTGAGATCAGCAATAGTGATGTTTGCATATTTAATTTTTTTTTTTGGATTGAATTCTTCAGCTTGAGTGAAGTTCTAATTAGTTTTAATGAGTCAGAGTAATTGGGATTAGTTATCTTCTGAGTTTTAAGTTTGTGAAGAGTTGTCATGTGAGAAATGTTTAAACAGTAGAGTTTGAGTTAGTCTTGTGAATTGTAGAAAGTGAATTTTAATGAGAATTTTGTGACAACGGGAATTTGTTTGTGAAAATGTTTGAAATAAGTTTGAGAAGATTAGTTACTTATGCTCTGTACTCATGTGTGGGAATTTTCTGTTGATTACAAGTAGTTTGTCTTGAATTTGCTAGTGAATCGTAATAGATTTGATTTGAGTTATTGAATTTTCTTTCTTGGTTGGACTTGTTTGCTGAATTTGGGGTTAATTCTTGTTTTGGCTTAAGTTTTGTATTTGAATTGGTAGTATCAAGATAGTTGTATCAGGTTTTTGTTTTGTTTTGGTGGTTTTTCTGCCAAGGTCCGTAAAATGTAAGTTCTCTGATGTTTAGTTTCTGTGGAAGAATTGAGATTTCTGTGGTCATAGGAAAATAGTAGAATTTGAGTTATGGATTTCATTTGTGTGATTTTTAGGGATTTTTGAGTTACGAGTTATGAGTATTTTTTTTTTAGTTTAGCACTTTTGAGAACTTTGCATTTGTTGCTTGCAGTTAGGTCTTGCGTGAAGTTGTAATGTCCTGAAAGCTCGTTTTCTTGTAAATACTTGCACTTCATGGTGGCACTTGACCTCTAACACCGGGAGAAACAGGAACTTGTTATCTGAGAAAACTATTGTTGTATCTTTTTCATTGTGTTGGTTCAGGATTGTAACGTTTCAGTCAGCGCACTTTTCTTTCCGAGATAAGAGATCTTATGTTCTCTTTCAACGTGTCTGGGGGTTTGCTTGATACGTAAAGTTTGAGTCTGTCATTCATAATACAGCGCTTTTCTCAGCTTACATGGACGCGGTAAAGAGTTACTTTGTTTCTTTTGTTTGGGTGGAGGTGTTGCTGAAAGCTGCTACTTAGGTTACTATACAACGTTTTGGAAGTCTGATGCAGAATAGATCTCAGTTTTTGCCTAAAATTGGGGGGTTTGTTTTGAACACTTTTTTTTGATTTGTGATATTTTATTTAGTGTTCTAGTAACGTGCTTCAGTCCAGCTTTGATTGATTTCTTTGACTAGTTGAAATTTTTTTTTGTGGACCTAATGGATTTTTAGAATTACTGAATTTTTTTTGGTGTTGTTACTCACTAGTGTTTACCGTGAGGTTTGAAATTTTTTTTAGCGACACTTCACTCTTGCTGGTTGATTTTTTTTTGGCTTGATTTGAATTACAGTGAAATATTTTTTGACTTGATATGGTTTAACATAATGACTATTTGTGTATTTGTTTAGGTATTGCAGTTTAAAATTTTTTTTTTTAAGTATCACTGATCTCATTGCTCATTTGAATTATGTACGAAATTTTTACAGTTTAATTGTATTTTCATTTTTATGTGTATATGTGTATCTTGGTAGTATTTGTAAATTTTTGGCCAAACGTTATTTTGTATATGCATTAGGTTGTATTATTATTATTATTTTGTGTGTCTTGGATAAAATTCTAATTGGTATTTGCACAGCGTATTCGTTATGTTCATTCTCGGAATTGATTTTGGTTGGATTGAATTTTTGGACAATCACGTTTTCCTTCTTTCTGATTTTTTTGTGTGGGGTATTTTCGGCTGGTTCCGAGGTTCCTTGTGTTGTAACGTTCTTTTCTTTTCTAATGCTTGGCCCTGATCAGGCCGCTTCTGTTCTTAGACGTGATTGTTTGGGATTCAATTCTTGGAAGTTATTCAATTTCGTAGTACTTAGGGGGTCTTTACTCCTTATTTGAATACGTTCATGTGACATATTTTATTTGGAATTGTTTGAATTATTAGTGTGTTTATTTTCTCAGGAATGTATTTTATGTATCTGCGGCGCGTTAATTATCTTATTGATTGATCTTAGACATATTTTGTTTGTGATTAGCGCCTTATTTTTATTTTTATTTTTGTATGTGTTCTGAGTATTTCTAGGTTTAATTAAGTGATTTAATTGATGTTTTTGATTAATTATTTTTGATGATCTTCCTTGAGTATTTTAATTAGTAATTGCTTTGATTAATCTTGTTGTTTTACTTGCACATTTTGGACTTTGAAATTTAATGTGTCAGTAACGTCACTGTTACCAAGGAGTCGTGTGAAATATTGTTACATTATGTTATCCTTTAGCCTTATTGCACAGTATGAGTCATGGTATTTCAAGAAGTGTCTGTCTGCTAAATTTTGGTAAACCAAAATTTAATTCCTTAGGGGAAAGGAATGTTATGTAGAGAAATTATCTGATAGCGTTATAAAAATTAGGTGAATGATTTTATGATTTATGGAAATTTAAATTTTATTTTGATTCTGAATTATTTAATTTAAGGCTTTAATTTTGGGGAAGAAACAGATGCTTCTGGAAATATTATTTAGTTTAAATGAATATTATTTATTTTCCTTTTATTTGCAAATCTTGTACAAACTTTTATTCATTGTGAAAGAAGCAGGGAAAGGGAGGCAATTTTCGCCAAGTCATGATTTCGCGCGCTTTAGAATGTTCGAGAAAGAATTTTCATTGTTAGTTGACCTTAAGAGAGGAAAGTACGTGACGGAAAGGTCAAAGGTTGCTACTTGTCTTTCAATGTAAGTCATTCAGGTTTTTGGCGATTGAGGGTCCGGTTGTTGGCTAAGTGAAGAAGGGCGCGCATGCGCGATCACCCTTATTTCCGCATTCTGGAGTTGAAAACGAAGATTTGGCCATAATTAAGGGGGCGATAAGTGAAGCCATAGTGGGAGCCCGTTTGGTGAAGGAGAAGAAGGAAATTTGAGTTGGACACACCTTTTTTTGGCTGACTCTCGGACTGACTCGCTGATTTTTGGGCTTGCTGGACAAAATGTAAGTGACTCCGAGAGGTGTTTTCCGGCGGGGAGCGGCAAATATGCTCCCCGGCCGCGTTTTGGTTAAGAGGCGAGACTCTGGACACTCTTACTTTTGGACTCGCGCACTTACTGGTTGGCTGGACTTGTGGATGTTACTCTGGAACTTACTTGGGACGTTACCCGTGAAGACGTTACCCATCCCAAGAGCTTGCTCTTGGGATGAGTAAGAACAGGCGAGCCGTAATTTCCTAGCAACAACGTTTCTGACCGGCGAAATTTGAACGAGTTACCTGCGTGTTGACATAGGACTTTCAGGACCAAGCGGATAGCCGTCCTGGGCAGCAGTGCTCCTGTTTCTGTTCTACAGTAGTGAAGTGGGTCTACATTTTTAGAACCAGTGTCAAGATGAGCCCGGCCGACATCAACGCGGGATAAGATAAGAGTCCTCCGCTTCAAGATGTCCCTTCAAGATAAGTTTTTTTTTTTTGGTGTGTTTGAACTTTAGGCAAGTTTTTTCAAAAACGTCCTTAGCAGAAAAAAAAACAACGTCGAATCTAAAATTTAACTCTCAGGCCTTAAATTGTTTCCCTTTCCTTTCTTTTAAATCACCAGACAAACCTTAAGTTTTTTTTATGAATTTAAATGAAACAGACTCTCAGATGAGGTTAAGATTTTTCTTATTGTGTTGTAATTGAAATAAACTGATATTTAATCTGGAACCTCTTACAGTATGTTTTCTTTATATTTTAATATGAACTTTTCCTTTATATCTTGTATATGTTTTATGTTTTCGATCCTCTCACGGCGCGGTCCCGGAATGCATTTTTTTTTCACAACGCAAAAATGCTGTACACGTTTCACTATACGATTACTGCCTTTTACGGCAAGTAGTTTCATATTTAACATTTAACAATATAGGAATTTCAGATATAACATGGTAGCTAGAAGTAAAACTATTTAACCTTGGTGTCGAAACTTTTTCTTCATAACAGTATTGAAAGCTTGCCTTTTTAGATGCGCTTTGCTTGCGTAGTGTTTAACGTTTTTAGTAGTTTGAAGTGTAACTACTGATTGTACTCGTAATACTGTAAGAGTATTTCTGCGAAAAATTCCAGAACTCTGAAGTGTTTCTTTTCATAAAATAAATTTTATCAAGATATCATCGGACCGGTGTGCATTCAATCTATTACGAATCCCCCTGCAAGCAAGCAAGTCTCAAAAACTACGCTTCTTGCTTTTAAATCAGTTTATTATTCAGTAACGTTGCAGATTACATTTGAAAGCATCTTAGGCTTTACTAAATAGCAACACGCTGGAGCGTGGAAGATAAAAGAATTTTATTTCCGGCTGCAGCAACACATTGTTTTCATAGAGTCGAGTTTCTTAACACTGAAAGAAAAAAAAATATTTTATATTTTTTTTTTTTCGAATGGAACAGACTTGCACGCTGAAGATAAAAATGTTATATTTTGAAAACAACTATTCGCTTTCATATCAGTGAGTTTATTATTTAAAAATTAATTTAAGTTTTACAGAATATAAAATAAATAATAAAACAAATTCGAATTTCAAAATTTCGGCTTCCAGGTGTAATTGTTTGGGTAGAGGACTACGTTATTCAAAATCTGATGGCTTTACGAACCATCGTTTTTTTCAGAATGCAAAAAAAAATACATACATACATAGAGATTCTTCATTATTTGAAAATAATACAAGGCCTTAATATTCGGTGGAAACAATATGAAGCAATACATATTATATTAAAATGAAAGAATCATTCCTATTCATAAATTTAATTTTATGTTTAATATTAGGTCTGATTTTTGGACTTTGTTCAATAGAAATGGTAGTGACAGATTAAATATATGAACAAGAAGTAACATGTTTCGAAAACTGAGAACTGCAAATAACGCAGTACTATTTCTCTTTTAATTTGCAAAGCTCATTCCAAATTAAGTACTAGAATCGTGCCTAGTTACTTCTTTGATTTAGACTTAAAAAAAAAAAAAATATTGCTATTGATTATTTGATCGTAACAACGAATTATATAGAAATAAATTAATATACAATATAATTACATAAACATAAAATAACACCAGTGTAATAAAAATTGTTATAAATGATTTCAGTAATCTTGTAATTTAATTATTGTAATAGTAATTATAATTTAGTCATCGTGTAACTGTAATTTGTTAGTCTTCCTTTTAGTAAAGCAAAATAATTAACTTTTTTTAAAAAAAGAAAATGCACTGTTAAGGATATCAGCTTCTTGTAGTTGTGATTTTATTTTATTAAAAGTCTTACAAATTTACCAATCATTTCATGGGCATTGAACTGTTATTACTGCTGATTAAAATTATGCATCTCTTGCTCAATCAATTTACTTTATATTACCCTAGAAGCATAATAACTAAATACTGAGAAGATAAAGTTGTTGAAAATTTCTAGTCACATCCTAAGTTCGATTCTGGAGTGATCCCAATTTTCTGTTGTAGAATTTATCAGCACTGAAAACAAACTGAATATATATTTCGAGTTAACTGAAAAGTTTTCTCACAAAATTTGGAAAAATGAAACGTTTTAATTTATTAAATAACAGAGAATGTTCGAAAAGGTTTCTGCAGACTTATTTTATTACATACTGATTCTGTTCTTATACATTCAATAAAATAAATTACATAATATTATGAAAATGATTTTCGCATAGGGGAGAAGATTGTGTAAATTATTTACACAACCCTCCTCACCCTCCTTGCGAAAAACTGATAAACACATTAATAAATTTTTCACGGATCTCATGGAGGCAAATTTCTTATTAATAAATCATTCATTATATTTTAATTATTTAAATAAAATTTCCATACATTTACGTGCAAACTTTGCAAAGATTCAGTGGCTAACGAATACTTTTTAAAATCTACGTAACCTTGTATTTAGATTTCTCTTGATTATAAATGTCCCTTAGCTTCATTAACGTTTAAAAGATGGTGAGATTTGTAAAGGATTCACTTAAAAAGACGGAAAATAGGAATGCACTTCCACCTCTCATTAAGCTGGAATTGCAAAGGGAACGACCGATGACTTTTAAAACCTTTCCTTTAGAGTAGGGGTCTTCAACTCGTGACCCGCTGAAGTCATTTTAGTGGGCCCACATTTGAATCTGAAGAAAAATTGAAGAATTTTAATAAATTTGGATTTCAAGAAAAATTATCTTGTGAGCTTTTTGTCGTAATTTTTTCCTCTTATTCTTGATATTATTTGAGATAAAATTTTCCGAAAATGACAAATTTTTCAAAAATTTCACTTTATCTTATGTAACTTTAAAAATCAAAAATGTGACTACGCATAAAATCTCAAATTTATAAAAACGCTAGATTTCTTATCTCTAACACGTTTACAACAGATGTCAATTTTTCGTTAATACTTCGCCAAAGGTGATGTTAAGCATGCTGCTACTATAGAGGGGAGGAGGAATAAATTAGCAGAATTCAATTTCTCTTAATGTCGCAATCAGTTATGAAAGGGAACGGTGATCGTATGTTTATTCTACAGTTGATTTTAAGCTAGGTTACTCACGCTCATTCCACATTCTAAAATTCAGAAGCGTTTATGGTCTTTGAATGAGTACACAATAGCAAGCCGTGATAACAACCAAAAAAAAAAAAAAAAATTTGAAGGAAAAGTGCGATTTTTTTTTTAAGAAAAAGTGGTCAGAGCTTTATTATTATTATTATTATTTGTACATACGGATAAGGCAGTTTGCTTATTTACATTGACAGTGTAGCTGTGATGAAGGAATACAAAAATTAAGAGACATTATGATATTAAGCACAGTGAGAAATATTCTGCATTGGAAGGTCATTTTCGAAGTGATAAGGTGAGTGAATTAAAATCAACTAAAAACAAAAACTAAATTTTCCGCAATCTTTCTTCACCACAGCGAATAAAGAATCTGAAAATAGTGTTAGTGTTAGTTACATGATAGCAGAAAAAATTGCTAAGCGTGGAAAACCCTTTGCTGATGGAGAATTTGTAAAAGAATGTCTTCAGAGTGTAGTTGATGTGCTTTGTCCATCACATGCTTAAGTCATAGCGAATATTAGCTTGACTGATGTGACAATAACGAGATGCATAGAGGATCTCGCAACAGATATATTCAGTAAATTAAAATCCAAATACAAAAAATCTGAGTTTTATTCTGTAGAGATGGCTGAATCAACGGATACAACAGGTACTGCACAAGCAGCCATTTTTATTCGTGGGTTTGATAGAGACTTCAGAATTGCAGAGGAATTATCCAGTGTCGTTGCACTTAAAGGTACAACGCGAGGAACAGATTTGTATTCGAGTCTGACACAAACTTTGGATAAATGTGAGTTAGACTTCAGAAATATGTCTGCTATAACAGGGATGGTGCTAAATCTATGACTGGAGAGAAAATAGGAGTAGCAACATTACTCAAATCTGATGTGAAGGGAAGTGGAAATAATACTACGATATCTTTTCATTGCATCATCCACCAAGAAAATTTGTGCAAAAAGGTCCTTCTCAAAGTTTGAACATGTGATGAATATTGTGGTTAATTTCATTCGGTCTAAAGGACTTAATCACAGGCAGTTTCAACAGTTCTTGAGTGATTTGGAAGCTGAATATGGTGATGTTGTGTATTACGTGGAAGTACGTTGGTTTAGACGGGGAAAGATGCTTCCGGGCCTGCGTTCTTTGAAGAGCGAAGTTCAGTTATTCATGGAATTTAAAGGGAAATCTATTCACGAATTGAGTGATGAGAAATGGCTGAGAGACTTTGCAATTCTTGCTGATATTACAGGTCATCTCATCGATTTGAACTACCACTTACTGGGAAACGATTTACTTGTTCATAACCTCTATTACTTTGTAAGCTTAAAGACAAAATTAATAATCCTGTGGGAAAGCCAGTTGTTAAAGTAAGAATTCCACTTACTTTTCAAAATATTGATGGAGTGTGTGAAAACCTCTAGAACACGGAATTCAAAGTAATTATGTACAATGCATTTCAAATTTGAAAGTGGAAGTACAAAAGCAGATTTTCCGATTTTCGTGAAAACGGAATTTTTATCAGAATGTTCTCCTCGCCATTTTCAGTAGACGTTAGAAGTGTTCCACCGGAACTTCAATTAAGAATTTATAGATTTACAGTGTGACACTGTAGTAAAATGCAAATTTCTTGCAAATCCTACATTAATTGATTTTTATTCCAGGTACGTAATCGAAGACAAGTATCCAGGAATTCGTAAGCATGCGCTCTTCACGTCTTCTATCTTTAGCAGTACCTACACATGTGAAAAGCTTTTTAGTAAAATGAAAATCCTAAAATCAAAAAAAGAACGTGGCTGACAGACAGATATTTAGAGGAACCTTTACGAATTGCAACAACACAGATTAAACCGGATATTGAAGCTTTTTAGTGTGAACAGCTTTTTAGTAAAATGAAAATCCTAAAATCAAAAACACGGCTGACAGAGAGACATTTGGAGGAAACTTTACGAATTGCAACACAGATTAAACCGGATATCGAAGCATTAATCAAGCAAAAATAATGTCAAATTTCACATTAAAACTAAAGTAACTACCATCTCCCTCCAGTATTGTAAGTTTTTTTTTTTTTTTTTTTTTTAATTGTAAATGCATTTTGTACCACTGTTCTGTACAATCATCTTTATACACTTTTCCCATAGTTTAGAAAAGTTGCAAAACATTTTAATTCGATTTTCATTTGACTTTTTGCACCAATATATACAAATCTGTAACACTATCCCTTCACTTAGAATCAGTTGTAGTCTTCCAAATTTTTATATAAATGATTTCCAAATTTTTATATAAATTTTCTGACTACACTATTTTTTTCACAAACATGTGGCCCGCAGATCGTTGAGAATTTATTGATGTGGCCCTCGGGCGTGAAAGGTTGAAGAGCCCTACTTTAGAGGATGGCCTTTGTTAATTTTCAGGTAAGAGACTAGGGAATGTGTGAAACTTTTTCTGTTTTCTGATAATTCTTATCCCTAAACTAGGGAAACCATGAAGTTGCTATTTGGTAGTCGGAGGATAGAATATTAATTTTTGCAAACATTTATATATTACGCTGTCAAACATATTTTTATATCGAAAATAAGTTCGGTAGTTCAGTTTTATTTTATTTTTCGAACTGGTTATAGATTAGAATTGAAAATAATTATTGACCCTTTGTTTCTTGCATAAATTGGTAATTCGCATTAATTTTTTATGAAAATCGAGCAACAATTTTAACTTTGTATTTATATATTAACTAAATCCCCTTGCAATTTTGTGATATTAGTATTTTTTCTTTTTTCATTTGAGTATTCTTTTTTAATATTTTCATTTAGTTT